GCGGCGTGCTGCGGGGCCAGGCGCTGCCTTGCCCTTTCCCCGCGCGTTTCCGCGCTGGCGGAAGCGGGGCATTGTCTCCCTCGCCCATCGCAGGCAGCTGCCCCTGGGCGCGCTCCAGCTGCATATTTATAGAGATGCAAACATTACACCCCGGAAATTCCCAGTCTTTACATCACAGGCCAAAGCCTGCAGTGAAGCCCTGACCTTTTTCTTCTTCTCGATGTGTTTTGGGGGACTGTGACAGAGCGGTCCCATTTGGGACCAGTGCTCCTGCATGGGTGCTCAGGGCTGCAGCACCGTGCCACTGAGGGGCACAGGGGACACAGAGGAGCTGTGGATGCCCCTGGAAATGTTCAGGGCCGGGTTGGATGGGGCTTGGAGCAACCTGGGCTAATGGAATGTGTCCCTGCCTTGGCAAGGGGAGACTCGATGAACTTTAAGTCCCTTCCAACCCAAACTACTCTATGATGATTTGATGATGATGATGATGATGATGATGATGACAGTTGTGTGTCCCCACTGGTGGTCTGGGACCCCATCCCTTCATGAGACAGGAGAAAAAGGACCAAGAGAAGCTGCTGCTGTCTCTGATGGACATTCTGACCGTACCATCCAGCCCGGCTGTACATTGCTCAGTGCCATTCCAAAACTCATGGCTGGGGACACACGACAGGGACCTGCCAGGGTGGCTGTGTTCCCCCTGGCCGCCCCCTCTCCCCCTTTCCCCCAGTTTGGTGCAGATGTCCCCATGCCTCCCCAGTGCCTGCTGTGTGCCCCAGCACCCAAAGCCACCCCAGCGCTGGTGACAAGGCAGCCCTCCTGCTCTGTACTGTGCCGGGAGGATGAGGAAGAGCCAACCTTAATTTATTCCGTGCTGCATTTTCATGCCAAATGAGTCAGAGCACCGGCCTCTCTCAGCCTTTGTTTTGCTTGGCTGCCTGCACCCGCTTTCGCTTGGTGTTTGTTCAATACTGAGTCCCTTGATGGCACTTGGGCTCAAACCAGCGAGTGCAGCAGAAAAAGTGCAGCACTTCCCTGCTGGGACAGGAGCTTTCCCATCCTTCGGCACCGGCAGTGATGCACTTGTTTTATTCTGTTTCTTTCTTGCAGTTTGAGGAACCCTGAGCTTGGTCCTTTGAGCCACCACGTCCCGCCAGATCCATCTAAAGCCATCGAGGCTGGCAGGGGCTGCGGGATGGGGCCGGAGCAGCCGCGCTGGCTGCTGATTTCAGAGCAAAACCAGCCCCAAACGGAGCTGGGGGAGGTTTCGCCCGGCACAGGACCAGTTAGGAACGAGCACGGCCGCATTCCTGCGCACGTGGGAGCCGCCAGGAGGAAGCGGCAGCACGGAGGTGTTTCAGTGCCCTGCTTTCCTGCCGTGCGAGCAGGAACTCCCTTCCCACCCCAAACCCCTGCCGTGGGGGCCGCCAGCTCAGCTGGGCCCTCCAGGGGCTGTCAAAAGCTCCCCACCCAGAAAATAAATGAGATTTTGGCTCATCTACTGCTGTTTGTGTTCCATCGAGCTTTTGGAAGAGATTTCCAAGTTGTTTTGCCTCAACCACCCTCCATCAGAAGTGAAATCTGAAAATTCCTCATTGAGGAACATTGCTGAACAGCTGCCAGGGATGATCATCTCCATGCCTGGCTCCTCTGCTCTGATGGGCCCCCAAAACCCTTGGCAGTGACACGGTGCCTTTTGGGGCCCTTGGGGAAGGGGATGCCACCACCCCACTGCTGGCATGACCCACCCAGCCCTGGTGCCATCCTGAACTACAATGGGGCACAGCGGGGTGGCCAAGGCCACGGCTCAGGTGTCAGCAGGGAGTGAGACCCTCAGCAGGGAGTGAGACCCCCGAGCTGGCGCCCATCCTGTGCCCTGGGCAGCAGGGTCAGCCTCGGCCGGGTGCTGGGGCTGGCACAGGGTGGAGCAGGGTGTGGGATGCCAGAGAAGGGCTTGCCAGGAAAATGTCATCTCGTTGCATAAAACGTGCTCCTCTCCCTCTCCCTCCCTCTCCCCTCCCACAGCAGCAGCAGCAGCTCAAGAGATTCTTACCCAGGTTAAGTCAATATTGCCACATTGCTGCCTCTGTCGAGGTGCTTGTCCCCGTGGAAGGAGCTCCGTGGGTATTTTAAGGGCTGGAAAGGAGCCAAGGGAACACATCTGGGTGGGTGCAGCACCCTGGGGCTCAGCATCTTCCCACGAGCCCCCGGTGGGGCCACACCTGGGGCAGATCCCAGGGCAGGGGCCTCCAGGCTGCCAGGACAGCCCCACTTGCCCAGGCTCGAGAGGCTCCAAGGAGCTGGTGGCACCGGGCTGGGTACCTGGATACCGGCACGGGGTGTGCCCGGCCTGGCAGCGGAGCAGGTGGGAGGGCACGGACACAGCAGGCAGCAGCTGCAGCGGTAAAGCCACCAAAAGGGTCATTTGCAAAATAAACTCTGCAAAACCAACCCTGGCAGAGCCCAGCCGAGGAGGGAACCTCAGCATGGGCTGTGTGGTGCTCTGGGAAGGCACCAGAGCCTGAAGAAGAGCTGCCAGCACCCCCAAACCACAGGCCCCCAGGTCCCCAAAACCACCCTGTGTACAGAGCATTGTGCAGGGCCTCTGATCCCAAGCCAAGGTAAAGGCAGAATACCTGGGCAGTTTACATAAGACAGAGTTTTCCACTACACTGGAGTTTCTCTCCGCCTGGTGTTTCACCCAGCAGCTGCAATTTTGCTGCTCTCAAGGGCATTTGCACACAAAAATGAGCCACACCAGAGATGTGGGGAGATTAGGAGGATTAAGGCTGCAGAACTGGCGCAGGAGGGGATGGAAAGCAAACCCCTCTGGTAGGCAGAGGCAGCTCATCCCTAAACCTCTGCTCACCTTCACACAGGGTCAAGAAGGGGGGCTCTGGGATGGTTCTGGAAGCTTTAAGAGGAGCAACCGGTCCTTTGAGCATCCAGAACATGTTGCTGCTAGAGACGGGGGGGATCCCAAAGCACAAAAACCAGAAAGTGTTTCTAGTGCTGAGTAAAGACGTGCAGGATTTCACGCAGTGAAACAAAAGCAGTGGGCTGGGTTTCTCCCTCCTCAGCTCCCCTCCGTGGGGCTGGGGGGAGGAGGGGGATGCAGGTGCTGCCTGGGCAGGTTGCACAGGGATGCTCACAGCCTCTGAAAGAACCTCAGCACCTGCAAAACCCTTCTCCCAAAAACCAGGGGAACACCAGTGTGCTCCTCAGCATGGGCAGGAGCCTGATGGCCATGGCAGGGAGCGTGCCAGGCTCCAGGCACCACCAGGGATCCCAAGGAGTAATGGGATTTGGGGATCAGATGAATGGTTCCTGCCCAGGGGATCCTCACAATCTATTCAGAAGTAAGAACGGAAGATGGGCACCATGGGGACCAAGTCAGACCCTCAGTTATGGCTCAGATGGAGCTGGGGCCATGGCTGGCAGCAGGGAGAGCCCAGAGATGGCCCCGGCCAGGCCAGGATGAGGCCCAGCCCCGGCTCTGGCTGTCGGGGGCTGCTCCAGCCTTGCACCTCCACGCCCAGCAGCGCCCGAGTGACAGCCCTGGGACTCAATCCCAGCAGGACTCAAAGGTGCTTGGCTGCATGAGGCCACGGGCACACCAAGCGTGCTGTGTGTGGGGTGACAGCCCGGCCCGGGGGGGCTCAGGGCTCTGTGGGGCGCGGGCTGTGGGTTCCTCACACCCCGGAGGGGATGGCACAGCCAGGCCACCGCAGTGCCAGAGAGGCAGGCTCAGCTCCTGCCGGGACACGGCCTCTCTCCCCCTAAAGGAGCTGGGAACACAAACCACGGCAAACTGGGCTGGAGGGGACTCCCACAAACACACATGGAGAAACACAGACAGACACACAGACAGACACAAACCCACACTTGCCTTGCGCTGTCGCTGCCCGGACCCGCAGCCTCCCCTGCAGTGCCCGGCCGGCCGCAGCGCCCGGCGCTCTTTAAGGGCTCCCCGGGCACGGGAGATCCGGCACACGCAGGGATCGGGATCAATAGGTCACAGCGTGCACTGACTTGCCCCCAGAACGAAAATCAGCAGAGGATTTGGGGCGGGTGGGGAAGCTACAATCAGGGCTTTAATCCCGCATGGGCACAAAATCCCGAGATAAAAAGGCCAGAGCTGGTCCTAATTGCTGACTGCAGTGTGCATGTGTGAGCAAAACCTCTTAGGCTGCGGGGGGCCTGGGGGAGGCATCTCGGTGCCTTATGGAGTCCTTGAGGTCGGAGCAGATCTGTAAGATCATCACGTCCAACCACTCCCCCAGCACCATCTATTTGCCACTAACCCATGTCCCCAAGTGCCACATCCCCACGGCTTTTGAATCCCCCCAGGGATGGGGACGCCACCACAGCCCTGGGCAGCTGTGCCAGTGCCTGAGCACCCTTTCCATGAAGATTTCCCAATGTCCAAACTAAACCTTGACGCTATTTGCGGCCGTTTCCCCTTGTCCTGTCCCTGTTCCTTGGGAGCAGAGCTTGGCTGTGCAGAGCCACAAGGTCCCCCCCAAGCCTCCTTTTCTCCCGGCTGAGGCCCCCTCAGCTGCTCCTGGTGCTCCAGCTCCTTCCCCAGCTCCGTTCCCTTCCCTGGACACGCTCCAGCCCCTCGGTGTCTGTCCTGTGAAAGGACTGGAGGTGTCCCGGCAGTGCCGATGGCACTGGAAGGAGCAGGGGCGCTCCGAGCGCCGTTCATCCCCAAACACAGAGACCGTGCGGGAGGAGCCGCAGCCCCCCGTGACTGCCCCTCTGTGCCCATCCCGGCCCCGCTGAGCCAGGGACCACCCGTGCTCGGCTCCTGGGGGTGTCAGGCTGGCCCTGCACATGGGGGGCTCCAACCCTGCCGGGACCCTTCCAGGGGCGCCCCAAAGCCAGGGGAGGATGCTGCGGGGTGGGAGGGGCGGGCCGGGCGGCAGCGGCAGGAGCGGGAGGAGGCAGGAGGAGGCAGAGGCGGTGCAGCCCCGTCCCGCCTCCCGGCGGGGCCCGGCCCGGTGGCGGCGCAGAGGCTGCGGGCGGCGGCGGGGACGGGCAGGAGCGCGGCGGGCGCCGTGCGGGGACGCGATGCACTCGCTCTTCAGGAAACGCAACAAAGGGAAATACAGCCCCTCCGTGCAGAAGAAAAGGTGAGTGACCCGGCCTCGGGCAGTCCCGCTCCTCCCGGGACGAGCAGAGCCGCCATCCCGGGGATCCCGTCCCGCAGCATCCCCCCCGCTCCGCGCCGGGGCTCGGCGGAGCTGATCTCCCCCGAGGAGTGGGAACTCCTCCGAGGAGTGGGAAACCCCCCCGAGAAGTGGGAATCCCCGAGGAATGGGAATCCCGCAGGTGTGGACACTCTCGAGTGTGAGAACCCCCGAGGTGTGGAACCGCGAAGTGTCGGCACCTCCCAAGGAGCGGGTACCCCTGCAGGTGTGGGCACCACCGAGATGTGGGCACCCTTAAGTGTGGGCAGCCCCCTAGGAGTGGGCATTCCCGAGGTGAGGAACCCTCAAGTGTGACATGCTCGAGGAGCGGGCACCCTCTGAGTGCTGGTAGAGCCCCTGAGAACCGTGTGGGAACTCCGGTGTTTGGCCCCCCCGGGAAGTGTCAGCTCCTCCCCGAGCTGGGTCCGTCTCCTGCGCCGGCTGTGGGCACAGAGGTTGCGTCTCCCAGCTCCCCTCCCATCGCAGCAGCTCCAGCGAGCAGGTTCCTTCTCTTCCCAGCTGTGTACTGGGTCACATCTTAGGGGAAAATAGTCTGCTTGTTCTCCACCTTCGCCCCTGTTCCCTCCGGACCAAGGTTTTGGTCCATCGTCGTTTCCTCGGCTCCCTCTGACGGGGTGGGGACGCGTTTCGGTTGTACTGGTTGGTTTAAAAAAAAAAAAAAAAAAAATCAGGGTGTTGAATGCACCCTGTGAAAGGTCACTGATAAAAGAGAAAAGGTGTAAAAATCCCTCCGCAGGAAGGCTCAGCCTCTCTGGGCTGGACGGTGGACAGTCCCCAGCCCCTGCCTGCACCGGGATATTTTTCCACAGAGGTGGATGTTAGGGTTAACTCAGAAAAGTGTCCTGTGTTTCCCAGAGGAGCTGCAGAGGCTCTGAAGCATGTGGAGTGCTCCAGGATTTTGAGCGATTCAAGGATTCATTATCCCAGCCCGTGGCTGTTCATCCCCTTCCATTCCTCTCCACCGGCACCAGTCCTGGCTGGTGGAGTCCGAGCAGCCGCCCTCTCCCAAAAATCCTCCTTCGGGAAGGAAGCTGGGGAGCTGCTGCAGGGGCTGAGGGGCTTCGAGGACCCGAGAGGGACCAGTCAGCCCAGAAGGCGCCACATGTCCCAAGCAGGGGAGCCCCGGCGGCTCCCTGCCCACGGGAGCGGGGCTGTGGCGGTGGGAGGGGGAGCTCTGCCCGCTGCTGCCCTGGCACCGGGGATCGCTGAGCTCCCTCTCCTGGAGCCGAGGCTCCAGCTCCAGCCCCGGGCAAGGCTCCCCCGGCAGCCCGGCTGGCTCGGCAAGGCCGTCCAGGCTCCCGAAGCCCGGGACACGGCTCTGCTGCCAGATCCTGCCCCGGGGAGGACAGGCAGGAGGAGACGGGGGGGCACGGAGCCCTCGGAGGCTCCGCACCTCCCTGGTGGCCGCGGCGCTCCCCGGGTGAAGGATGGTGCCAATACCCAGGCGCGTTTTGAGCTTCGGGGGAGTCAGTGGGCGGCTGGAAAGTGAGAACCCCGCAGCGGGGCCGGCAGCTCGGGACCCCGGCAGCGTCAGGATGCTGTGAAGCAGGAGGAGACAGCTGCCCTGTGCGGGGTGCCCACCGCGGGGCTGTGGCCGGGGTCTCCACGCTGCTCCAGCCCTGGGTGCCCCGTGCTCTCTCCATCCGCCGCGGATCGGCGCAGGAAGGAAGAAGCTTCCTCCGCCGCCCTGCCTGCAGCCCAGCGGCCCTGGGCAGGTGCCAGAGCACCTCCGGAGGCTGCGGGCCAGGCTGAAACCTCTGTTTTTCTGGCTGGTGGTGGCTGAGGAAGCAGCGCAGGGCTGTGCCCGGGGCCACCCTCCCTTCCCTCCCTCCTTGCGCCCCGGCTGTCCGTGCACACCTCGGGGAGAGCTGTGCTTAATAGCCCCAATTTGTTAATTCCTGCCTTGGAGTTTACAAACATCTGTGAATCCAGGGAACACTCCCACCGTGTGGAAACAGCCCCACCATCAAGATGGGGAAGCCGGTGCCCGACCGGTTGAACAACTTGCTGGAGGAGGATTGCGAAGAAGCGAGGAGCTGCTGCCCCGTCCCCTGCTCCAGGCACTGCCAGGCTCCCAGGCGGCTCCCGCCCCGCTCTGCTGCCAGGAAAACAGAGCAACACTCCTAAAATCAACCGCCCGCCCCCGCCGTCAGCAGGGACCGGGATTTCGACACCGCGGAGCGCGGCCCCGTCCCGCGGGGGGCTGCGCCCCGGGCAGGGCGCGGTGCCAGGGCGCTGCCCGTGACCGAGCCTTCAAAGCACCGAGGGACAGGGCGAGAACCCAGCACCGGTTTGGCAAGAGAGAGGGGCACCGGAGCGTGTCCTGCCAGCCCCGGGAGCCAGGGCCACGGGCTCAGCTGAGGGAGGCAGGGGCTGCCCGGGGAGCATCGTCCAGCGGCAGGACAGAGCCTGGAGAGGAGCCATCGGAGCCTTGGTGGCTTCCTCAGCCTCGGGACAAAGCCTGCCCGGGATGGGAACACCTCCATGAACAGCACTGGCACCCAAGCCAGGTGCTGCAGCCTCCCCATGAACAACTCTTTGTCCCCTGGATGTGACAGCCACCCTGTCCCGACCCCAAGTGGCCCTCAAGATCCAGCAGCACAGGGTCCAGGTCTCTCCTTAGGAATACCTGCTGCAGCTCTGTGATCTGCCTGGGCTCGAGGCCTCCAGGCTCAGTAGTCATCCCCATCCTGCCCTGGGCATCTCCCTGCCTTGGCTGGGGATCCTGGAGGAGGATGGTGACATCTCTTTAGTCTCATGGACTTGATTGCTTTATTCTGCTCTCATCCCTGAGAGCGGGAAGGCCCTGGGAATTCAGCCGTGACCACTGCCTTGTCACATGGATGTGTGTCCCTGGAAGGGAAGGCACAGGCCTTGAACAGAGCCACAGCGTGGTGAAAATCATCAGCCTCCTTCCACACCACGTTCCTCAAACACTTGCCGTGCTTAGAACACAGGAGGTTGGCCTCTTCTTCTTCTTTTGATAGTCCAGGCTTGGCAGGTAGAAGGCAGTGAGGGAGATGCCCTCACTGAAGTGCCCAGGGCCAGGCTGGACAGAGCTTGGAGCAACCTGGGATAGTGAAAGCTGTCTAATCCTCCTGCCCATCTAATTCAAACAATTTGATAATTTTATTATAAAAACCAGTTCAGCCTTCACAGCTGCTGCTGAAACTCTCCCTCCTGCCATCAGGAAAGTTGTTCATCCTCGGGGTCCTTGGGGTGAGAGCACCCACCCAGGAGAATCCCCAGTTCAGCAGTGTCACTCCCCAGGTAAGAGGGGGTGCAGGCACTGGGACAGCTCTGTCTGCAGGGCTGGCACCCGTTTCCAGGGGCTGTTTGGAAGGGCTGGAGTCAGCAGGTGAGTCAGGAGCTGCTCAGGGCTGAGGGCGGAGCGAGCCTCCCTTCGCCCCCCCCGTTTCTGCCCTCATTTCCATGCAGATTACAATGAAATATCACCACTGCTACGAGGGAAGATAAATACAACTGGAACAGGCTGGGCTGAGCACAGCAACCCTGCTGTCCAGCTACACCCTGACGTGGGCAGCTTGACAGAAGTCTGCTCTGAGTTTTCAGCCAGATCCTAATCTCTCCCAAACCTGAATTGCCTTAGCCAGAGCCCAGCCCTTGTGCTCTCTACCCTGCCACAGTTTCACTCCAGTGTCATTAAAAGCAGCAAGAGAGAATTTCATGCAGTGGGAGCTATGGCTGCGGGAGTTTTAAGGACATTTATAGCTCTGTGCTGTGGCCTTCTGGAGGATTCATTCAGTTTAATTCCTCCAGCAGCAGGGCTGGCATGGGAGAGCTTTCTATGGAATCTCTGTAAATGGACACTGAATGGGGATGGAACCGAGAGCAGCAGTGGGTGGGCACTGCCTGCTCTGCTGATTGTCCCAGTGGTGGGATCAGACCCCATCCTCACCCAGCTCCCCTGGCCCTGGCCAAGCCATCCCACCAGGAGAAGCCTCTGGGATGGGAAGGTTTCCTGACAGGAGAGCAGCATCCCTGAGCAGGACAGGGATAATTCCCTGTCCCTTCCCATAACCCTCCCAGCAAGGATCAGGCTCATGGGACAAATTCCCAGCAGGAGCCTGGCCAGGGAACTCGGTCAGCTGGAGTGGTCAAAACTCAGGAGAGTCTGAACATCCTCCCTTGGAAGGGAGTATGGAAACAGCCTCCTTGTTTGGAAAAAAGGAAACTTGAGAAATCAAAGGGATTTTCTACCACCTGCCAGCAAGCACAAGACCTTTGCACATGCTGGAGAAACTGATCTCAGGGAGGTTTGCTCCAAAACCTGCTCTTACCAGTGAGGATGAAACCTAATGAGAAGAGAAAAAGAAAAAGGAATAGAGGAAAATCCAGTTTTTAGCAGCAAAGTTTTCACATTACAATAATTATCATCATATTTGTCTGTTGAGAACCTCTCTTAATAAAAATACCCCAACTAAAATACTAAGAAAAATCCCCAAAACCCTAAGAAAACAGAAGAAAGAAAAACCTGAACCCTAAAATTCCCCCCATAGCCTTCAGGAACACCTGAACCCCACTGAAAGCAAGGTCTTGAGGGCAGAATTGTGGTACATGGATGAAGTGCTGTCTGCCAGGGTGCAGCTGCTTCCTCCTGGTCCCCCAGCTGGGAGAAACTCCAACACCAGCTCCCATTCCCCATGGGAATGACCCGGGGTCCTTCACCCCAGCCAGGCCATGGCACTGACAAAAATCAACTCTTCTGCTGAGCACAGCTTTCCATGAGAGAGATCATTTTTTCCTTCCTGACCAGAGAATGTTAAAGTTCTCCAGAAATGGCAAAGCCAGTTTTTCCAGGCTTTTATTTATTTATTTTTTTCATCTCTCAAACAAAGCCTTATCTATTCCAGCAGAACAGCTCTGCATTCCCCCCGTGCTGCAGCCTCACAGGGGCTGTACCCTGGGTACCTTTGCTCCTGGCTCTGCTCAGTCTCGTGTGTGCTGCCCATCCCAGCTGGGCTCTGGCCAAATCCTGCCCTTCTCCCTCCCTCCCCAGCTCTGCTCCATGCTCCAGCTATCCCCCAGCCTGCTTTTTGGCCCTGGCATCTCCTGCCAGCAGCTCTGCTCCAAAGCCTGGATACATCCATGGCTCTTCCTGGCAGCTTCCCAAAGGAGCCACGTCCTCTCAATCCCATCCACACACTTTTTCTGGGATAGTCAAGGCTTCCTCGCTGCTTTGCCCATCCATTTGTGCTTCTCCTGCACAGAGTCATGGAATAGGTTGGGTTGTAAGGGAGCTTAAAGCTCATCTCATCCCACCCCTGCCATGGCAGGGACACCTTCCACCATCCCAGGCTGCTCCAAGCTCCATCCAGCCTGGCCTTGGACACTGCCAGGGATCCAGGGGCAGCCACAGCTGCTCTGGGCACCCTGTGCCAGGGCCTGCCCACCCTTGCAGGGAAGAATCTCTTCCCAATATCCCATCCATCCCTGCCCTCTGGCAGTGGGAGCCATTCCTCCTTTTCCTGACACTCCAGCATCTTCCCCCTTGCAGCAGACGAAGCCAAACTCCTCCATCTCCTGGCATGGAGACCCCAGCCAGACTTCAGCTTTCCCTGTTTGACATTTAGCTGGATGCAGGGACTGTGCTCCTGCTCTGGTTTATCCACACAGCCCCAGCCGTGGCAGGGACAGGTGGGTAATTAACAGGCTTGATTGTAATTAACAGGCCTGATGTTCTCACATCAGTGATGTCCAAGCTGGTTGATGAAGTGGCACCAAAGTGACAAGCGTGGAGAAATAAATACACAAATAAGAGAGACCTCACATGAGAGTTTCCCATTCTCTCTTATTTCTGTTTATTCCTGCACTCTTGTTATCCCTGCATTTCCAGCAGCACTGGGCTGGGTGGAGCACAGCTGAGCTCAGGGCAGCACAGGAGCAGCTCCCCAACACTGCAGTTTGAGGTGCAGCTCCCATGGGAGCTTTTATGAGAGTTCCCTGTCCCACAGCCTCAGCTGGTGACTCTCACACAAACCACAGAGGTGGAGAGAGCAAACAGCTCCTCTGGTGTGTCAGGAGAGCCCAGCCATGCCCACAGCACCTCCCAGCACGTCCTTGCCTGCTCTGAGCAAGGCTGAATTTCTGTGCCCTGCTCACCCAGACACTGCAGTTTCTGGATCACCAGGCAAACCATCCTCCAACACAGGGAATGGCCCTTATCTGCCCTCCCCCAGCCCCTCACCTGCTCCAGTGATGGAGAAGGGATGTCACTGTCCCCAGGTGCCACGGGGCTGGAGGGTGACTCTGCCCCAGCCCTGGGTTCTCAGAGTCATTGAGGGCAGGAGGTGGGAGGGGGATCCGGGGGCAGCACCCCCAGCTTGGGAAGGGGCTGGCAGGGCACAGGTGATGACAGGGATGAGGAGAGCTTGTGGCTCCAGCCTGAGAGAGGAGCGGAGGGAAGGGGACCAGGGGCTCATCCTCACCCCAGAGTGGCTGGGCAGCGAGGGGGAGGGTCAGGGCTGGGTGCTGCACTCGCTGCTTCCAGCACCTGAGATCAGTTTTGCTGATGCAAAGTGAGCAAAAGGCTGTGCTGAGGCTCCAGCTCAGCTCTCCAGGTCAGCAGCCTCAACCACAGCCATGCATCCAAAAAATCCCTGCCTTAGGTTTATTTCCTCCCTGCAATTTAGAGGTTTCAGTCAAAACTAGAACTAGAAAAAGCTCAGACTTCTCCTGGGTTTTAGGATGGTTTTCCTATCCATGCTGAAACCCTGAAGATCCATCCTTGGACTTGCTGGAGTCACTGAGACCAAGGCAGGGCACAGGGACAGGAGCCAGCAAGAGCTTCCAGCTGGTCCCCAGCTCAGTGCCAGTCCAGCCCCCGGCCCCCACAGCAAGCATCCCAAGCTCCCACCTGGATGATGAACCTCTCTCACCCTCCAAGCTCAGGTGGCCTCCAGTGCATGGGTGGGAGGCGAGGAAGGCTCCTCGGTGGCCACAAGCTCTGCCAGGATGCAGGAGGTGCCAGCTCTGAGCAACCATCACCCGAAGAGACCCAAACATGCGCGGCACATTTCAGTCACCTGCTCCAAACCACTGACTGCACCTGACTTCTGCCCTGCTTTCTGTGGGATGGTGAAGGTTGGAAGAAACCCCAAAGTGGATTTTGAGGAGCTGCTTCTACCACTGGAGGAGCCAGCCAGCCACATCCCATCTCCCCGTGCACCCTCCAGCTGTGATTAGTGAACACAGAATGAGAATCACCCCTGGAATTACTGCAACCACGACTCCCAAAGACCCCTTCCTTGTCTCCTCTGCCCAGGAATGCCCACTGGGTTCATTGCTGCTGGTGCAGGAGGTGCCAGGCAGGCAGCAGGCACAGTGACAGGCACAAACCTCTGAGTACCATCCTGATGATGCAGCTTCTATAAAAAGAAAAAAATCAGTGTAAACCATGCCCATAGCAGAACTTCCCAGGGAAGTGTGAACTTTTCTAGAGCTGTTGGATGCCACAAGGCTCCTGCAGCCTGGGGCAGCTTTGAGGTAGGGAGGAACAAGGCCAGTGCTAGGGTTTGGGTTTGTTCTGCTGCACTGAAGCGACAGCACACGGGGCAGGCAGGAACAGGTCCTGAAATTCAGCACCAGAGTCCTGGGGGAGCTGCAGCACCAATCCTGGGGTCAGGTCTGGGCCCTACCCACACTAAGGGGCTGGAGAGTGTCCAGAGAGGGAAACAGAGCTGGGAAGGGGCTGGAGCACCAGGAGAGGCTGAGGCAGCTGGAAAGGGGCTCAGCCTGAAGAAAAGGAGGCTCAGGGGGACCTTGTGGCTCTGCACAACTCCTGACAGGAGGGGACAGCTGGAGGGGGGCGGAGGGGGTCGGGCTCTGCTCCCAGGGAACAGGGACAGGACACGGGGAAACAGCCTCAGGTTGTGCCAGGGGAGGTTTAGGTTGGATATTGGGAATATTCCTTCATGGAAAAGGTGGTCAGGCACTGGCACAGCTGCCCAGGGCAGTGACAGGGTCACTGTTCCTGAAGGGATTTAAAAGCCGTGTGGATGTGGCACTTGGGGACATGGTTCAGTGGTGGGTGGCATTGGCAGTGCTGGGGGAATGGGTAGACTCGATGTACTTAGAGGGTTTTCCAGCCTTTACAATTCCATGATTCTGCCTGGGGATGCAGGAACTCTCTGTGCCATGAGCCAGCCCTGCTGGGATGCTGCTGCTCCCCCAGCCAGCCCCACTCGTGCTCTCCAGCTGCTCCAGCAGCAGCTGACACTTCCAAGTGCCACATAAAGATTAGCTCTGCCACCAGATAACAAGGTCATTAAGACTCATATGAAGGTCGTTGGGACTGGATTGAGCCAGCCCAGATGGCAAAGCAGCACACCCGGGGCACCCCAGCCTTGCCAGCAGCCTCAGCTCCCTCTGGCTGCAGGGATTTGGGGGGCACACCCTGCTCCTGCCGCTGGTCAGGGGTGGGAGAGCTGTGGGCAGTGCCTGGCACGCCCCTGGAGCTGGCCCTGGCACGCTGCAGCCTCTCCTTGCAGCCAAAGTGACAGACACGAGACGAAATGTTTAAAATAACCCCAGCGATGCAGAGGCTGCGTCACGGGTTGTTCTGCCTCTGCTCCAGCTCTGCCGTCCCTGCACTTGGATGGGAATATTTGGGCAGGCCCTGCACCCTGCCAGCCTGGCCAGTGTCACCCTGGGAGCAAAACCAGTGCCCAGCACTGCAAAAGATGCAACGTGTGTGACCCCATCCCTTCCCGGGTTTAAAGTGTGAATAACCCCTTGCAGAGCGTGGCACAGAGGGCAGAGCAGGGCTGCAGGCAGGGGCTGCCCACGGGCAACAGCCTCCAAGGGGCCACTTGCCCTCTGGGCATGGGGCCAGGGCCTCCCTGCTGCTCCAGCTCCACTATTTCCACACCGGACCCCCCTTACTCAGGCAGGGTGGGATTGTTGGGGTGTCTGTGCAGGGCCAGGAGCTGATGATCCTTGTGAGTCCCTTCCAGCTGAAGGTACTCTGTGATTCTCTCCCTGTCCCTGCAAAGAGCTGTTTTCTTTCCTGCTCCGAAGCCGAGGGAGGCTCAGGCATCGCTCCCGTTTCCAGCCATCCCCCACCCCCTCCTGGCCCACTGGCCGAGTATTTTGGAAAGAGCTGGAAGGCAGCAGTGAGTCACACACAGCTGCAGTGCCTGGCAGGCTGGGCTGGCCCCCGGCCACCCCCGGGGTCACGGCACCCCCGGGCACCCTGGGAGCTGTGGCTGCCTCTGTGGGGTGATGAGACCCCCCCTTCTCTCCCCAGCATCTCCAGCAAAGAGCTGACCGAGCTCATCGAGCGCCTGCAGAAAAATGCTGACCAGGTGGAGAAAAACATCGTGGAGACCGACTCCCGAATGCAAAATGTAAGCAAGGCACGGTCCCACACTCACAGGCTCTCCCCTCTGTCTCCTGCCCCAGCCCTTGGCACTTCCTGGGCTCTCCCCTCCTCTCCTAGGCAGGTGTGGGTGGCTGCCCAGCCCTGCATTGGTACCTGGATTGTGATGATCTGCAAGGGTCATTTAAGGGTTATTGGGATCCCTCCTGCTCGTGGGAAGAGGGTGGGAGAGTGTTCCAGGCAACAAGGCCCCCCCAAATTCCCCCCTACCCAGGGGGCAGGACTGTGCAGAGTGGGGGTGTGCATTCCAGCAGGGAGCTGGGGTGGAGGAGGAGAGGCCTGAACCATCCTGGTCCCAAAGGATGCATCCCGAGGTGATGCAGCTCCCCAGCAGCTGAGACTGGGGCAACCTTATCAAGTGGAAGGTGTCCCTGCCCGTGGCAAGGAGTTGAAGCTGGATGGTCTTTAAGGTCCCTTCCAACCCAAACCATTCCATGATCCTGTGACAGGAGAGGGGAAAGTAAAATCCATCCCAGGAGGATGGGAGGCAGCAGAGCTCCTGCTCCTCTCCAGTGCCAGGGAAGGCTGGGCTGGGATGACCTCTTGGCCACCCAGAGCTGACCCTTCCTCCTGTCCCCACTGCTCAGGACCTGCACAAGATCAAGGCGTGCCAGCTGGCGCAGTACAAGGAGCTGACAGCACAGAAACTCTCCGAGTCCGACAAGCTGCTCTACGTGCTGGACGGGGACGCGGCCGTGGCCCGGCACATGAAGCACCCCCAGGGGGACATGATCACAGAAGAGTGAGTGCCACAGGGACACTGTCCCCAGAGCCCTTGGATGAGGGGGAGGCCTCTCCAGGGGCTCTGCTCAGCTGCTGCCTGCAGTGGGGGGGGTCACCACAGGCTCCTCTGCATCCCAGCTCCCATTAGGGTGTGGGCACCATCCTGGGAACGGGGAGTGTGAGATGATGGCAGCATGGCAACGTGGCATCTGCCCACTGTGCCCCACACTGTGCCCCAGGTCCAGCCTGCCCTGAGCTCACAGCCATAGGAGCAGCCCCTGGCAGAGGGCAGAGCACAGGAACCTCTGCCCTCTCCCTGCCCAGCACTGCACAGCACAGCTGCTGCCAGCCTGCCTGGGCTCTCTCCTAAGCAAAGCCCACCATCCACGGGGCCTGGAGAGGATCAGCTACTCCCACCAATACTAATGCCAGCCATGCCCACATCCTGCATCCCACCCTCACCTTTCCCTTCCCACAGCATCCGGCAGCTGAAGGAACGCGTGGCAAACCTGCGTGTGAAACACGAGCAGATCTACAACTTCCCCCTGCAGCACATCGAGCCCCAGGTTAACTGGTCAACAGTGATCGAGGAGAAACAGGTACCAAGGGGCCACCAGTGTCATTGCCTGGCCAGTAGCACCAGCTGGGCAGGGACTCCTGCAGCTCCCCATGGAGAACCTGGCTCTTGGAAAACTTCTGGGCAGCTCCATAGTGGGAGCTGCTCCATAGTGGGAGCTGCAAACAGCTGGGTGGCAGGGGAGGGGCAGAGGTGGTGGGACAAGGCTGGCTGCTGTGGCACTGCTCCTGGCCTCAGCATCCTCAGTCACCACCTGCTATAGGCTCTACTCTACAGCCTTTATTTTTCATTTTATCCCACTCCCTGCACTCTTCCAGCCAGAGAAGGGTTTAACCCCCCAAACTGGTTTTCCCATGGCTGCCCTCCAGCACAGCTGATTTCACTCACACGCTCCTGGGGTATCCATACACTGCAGCCACTGGAGCCCATCCAAGCCAGCTCCATGGCCACCTCCAAGAGGAGCTTCCTAGCTCTTGGCAGCCTCCCCCCATTCCCCCATTGCTAACCCCATCTCCTGTGCACCCCAGGATGCGCTGAGCAGCAAAGGCTTTGGGACTGACCTGCCGCTGGTCAACAGCCAAGTAGAAGAGCACAACATCTTCCACAACGAGGTCATGGCCATCGGGCCACACATCGTCAAGGAAGGAAGCAAGGTCAGCTCTCCTGCCCCTCTCCCTGCTGCCCTGGAGGGTCAGCCCTGCCCTGAGCCATGGATGAAGGGAAGGGTGTCCCTATCCCACCATCCAAGGTGCTACAGCCCGGAGCAGGTTTGGGTGGGTGCCCAGATCCGTTCCCAGCCTGAGAGCCCAGCATCGCACGCCGGCTCTGGCTTTACAATGAGGCAAATCCCATAAACCACATCCCCCTCCAGCCTAAACCCACATCCTCTGCACCCTCGAGCCCCTGTCAGGGCACCGCTCTCCAGCCACTGCTCCTAACCCTTGCCTTGCTCCTCCTCCAGGAAAATATGAGCGACTTCCAAACCAAATACCAGAAGCTGCTGGTAAGAGCCCCTGGGATCCTGGGGGAAGAGCCCTCCTGCAGGGGTCCCTTGTTGGGATGGCCCTGGGGGACACACAGAGAGGAGCTTTGGGCTGAGCTGTCCCTGTGCCCCTCCGCAGGCCGGCTCCCAGCAGCGGCAGCAGGACCTGAACTCGCTGCAGGATTACATGCAGCGCTGCACCAACAAGCTCTACTGGCTGGATCAGCAGGCCAAGGACAGGACCCATTACGACTGGAGCGACCACAACTTGGACTACCCCAGCCGGCGCCGCCAGTACGAGGTCTGTGCGCTCCCCGCAGCCGGGCCCCGCTCCGGCTGCTGCTGGGCAAAGGGGAGCTGGGCACGGGGTCAGGGCAGCTGCATGGGGGCAGGAAATGGTCCCTCTCCCGTGCCTCAGTCTCTGCCAACCCATTGTGAAGGGCTTTGAGATGTGAAGCTGATAGTACAGGGATAGTGAGGTTAAGCCTTACCTCTGCCAAAGATAACGTGATGGGGAAGCGTCCCCACGATAGGGACAGCTCCCTCACCCTTTATCCCAGTGCTGGCTTGGCAGCAGTCACATCTTTAGCAACATCTGCAAGGGAAGGAAAAGTGAAAGCTGCAGTGGGGAACAGCACACTGTCTTGTGGAGCCGCTCAACCCCAGACTGCAGCCAGGGTCACCTTCCTTTCGTGGGAATCAATATCTCACCTCTCTCCATCCAGAACTTCATCCACCGGAAGCTGGAGGAGAAGGAGGAGGCCATCAACAAGCTGCACGCTGATGGGGATCAGCTGCTGGCCCAGAACCACCCTGGGAAGAATGCCATTGAGGTGAGCACCAGGGATGGGTCCCAGCCACCCTGGAGCATGGGCGACTCACCCAGCCCTTCTCCAGAGTGGGACCCAGTGCCAACACCACTTGTGACCTTAGTTCCTGAGATGCCAAGGGGGAAAAAGCCTCCTTCACTTGCAGATGTGTAAACACCACAGGAGGAGGAAAGATAAACCTAAGGAGCTCTTCCCATCTTCCTCATTCCTGTGGCAATCACCCTGTGCCCACCTAAAGAGGATAAACTATGGTGGAACCCTTCCCTTTTTGGTGGGAGGATGGACACAAGGATGTGCCACCTGCACACAGCCTGTGCTCCCATGGGATCATCCCAGCCTTGCCTGGGCTCCCCCTGAGAGCATCTGGGTGGCTCCAGAGGTAGCCAAAGAGCTGCTCACTCAGGATGCAGCTGGGGCAGTTCAGGCTTCCCCTGCCACGGGGGTTCTGCTGATGTCCCCTGCCACCCCTGTGTTGCAGGCTCACATTGAGGCTGTGCACGCTGACTGGAAGGAGTACCTGAACCTGCTGATCTGCGAGGAGAGCCACCTGAAGTTCATGGAGGACTTCCACAAGGTACCCCATCCCCGGGGGCAGTGACATGTTGAAGCCCAGAGAGCGGGTGCTGGGTTGCAGGAGATCCTAGAATATAAAAATTCCTGCTACTCTGGAAACTGGGTAGAAGAGATGGAGTGCTCTAAACCCAGGAGTTTTAAGGCTAGGAAAGCACCTTGAGCTGAGAGAACACAAGTCATAATTGCTCAAGCAAGTGATTGCTTGGCCAAAGCATGACTTGCAGAAAGCTTCTGCTCCAACAGAAGTGTCATGAGCCACAGTCGGTGTCAGCTTCCTTGTCCCCAGGACAGCAGAGATCCCTCATCCCCGAAGAGGGCATGGGGAGAGCTTGCATGCTCCTCTGGGAAGCAGAACAGGTCCATGTAGGAAGTCCCAGCTTCCACAAGCCGAGCTGCCCCCCGGGGAGCCGGGCACAGGGGCTGAGTGTCCCAGCTGAGCTGGGCAGACAGATGTCTGCTGGATAAATGGCATCTGACAGCCAGGGAGGCTCTGCAGGGGAGCAGGTCGGGCTGCATTCCTCTCCCACAGCCTGGGCGTGTTCACCACCCGATGAGTCTCCTGCCAAAGCTCAGCTGTGGTGCCCAGCCCAGGCAGTGCCTTTTGTGGGGATCTGCCAGAACAGCTGCCCCAGGGGATGGTTTGTGTGTGGAAGGGCTTGGCTCTCCTTTCTGCTGGCGCTGGCAGTGGTGGCACCACACACCGTGGTGATGCTGTCCCAGTGAAACAAAAGTGAGGGCAGGGAAAGGTGGGACTTAACAGCTCTGCATGGAATAAGCTGCTCCTTCCTGGTTGTTGTTTCCCTCAATTTGATGTCCTGAGCAAGGGAAATAGTGATCCCTGGCCTTTCTCCACATATTCTAGGAGTTCAGATGCCCAGAGTAGCTCCTGATGGCTGTGTGAAGACCATGCAGGGTCTGCTCCATGTTTCAGCAGGATCCTCTCTCACAAGAAACTTTCTCTCTCTGCAGTTTCAGAAGGACAGCAAGGATGCTCAGGAGCTTTTGAAGAAGGTGGATACAGACCTGGACCAAAAATTCAGCCCGGAGTTCAAGGACAGATACCAGCTGGAGTCCCTCCTCCGGGAGCTGGATGTGAGTGTCTGCAGGCAGCCCTGCAGGGGAGGCAGCAGCAGGAGCCACTGTCCCCCTGGCACTGGCACAGGGATGTCCCCACCCGTGTGGGCACCTGGCCCAGCTTTCTCCGTGGGGAGCAGCAGGGCCGTGCTGCTGCCTCTCCGTGCCCGGCCTTCCCCCAGCTCTTCCTTCCCCCCTGGCTAGAGATTGCCTCTCCCCTAGCAACGTAATTGCTCACTGGGCTGGTTTTTATTTGTTCTCTCATTGAGTTAGCACTCGTTAGGGGTGGGAGCATAATTAGACCTGCTGCCAGAGGAGGTTGTGGAACTCGCTGTGCTGCAGTGAGCTGGGCTGGAGATTGCCCACTTGGGAAGGGCTGTGCTGGGCCTGAGCCCGAGCCTAAGCCTAATTCCAAGCCCAAATTCAAGCCCAAGCCTGAGCATGCTGCAGCAGGCTCAGCTGATGCAGGTGTCCTGGGACAGCTGATAGCTCTTCCCAAGAGCTGTCCCCTCTCCTCCTGTATGCTCCATCCCACTCAGCATCTCGGGATCTTCACCTTCAGGACTAGAAATAGAGCAGCTATTGGAGAACCTTGTGACAGGGCTGGAATCAGAGCTGGGAGTGGGGCTGTGCACCAGCACACAGCCACGCCACTGTGGGCCGGGCACCAGGGAGCCCTGTCACTGTCCGCTGGCATGGCACCCCCTGGCACGGTCCCAGCCCTCAGCCGGCTGCAGAAGGAGGCAGGAGTGTGCAGGAGCACCTGGAACAGGAACACAGGGCTGCAGGAGGTGCCTTCCGCACAGAAGCAGCCACAGTCTCTGCTCCGGCTGCGTGGGAATGAGCTCCCCTCTGGCTGTGAGAGCCTAGGAGTTCGTTCTTCCCGTTTTCCTACTGTTCCTTGTTGTTGCCCCGTGCCAGGACCAGGAGAAGGCCCTGGACAAGTACGAGGCAGTGGTGAAGTCGCTGCAGGAGCGCAGCCAGCAGGTGCTGCCCCTGCGGTACCGCCGGCAGCCGCCGCCGCAGCCCATCCCCGTGGAGGCGCTCTGCGAGTACGAGGGCGAGCAGGTACGGCCAGCCCGGGCAGGGCTGCTGGGGCACCGTCTGCTCGGGGGGCACGGCCCTGGAAGCGGCACTGGGGGAAGGAGCAGGTTTTCCCAAGCCGTGGTGGTGGCTCCTGCAGGGGGAACGAGGCAAAGGTCGCCCTCGCCCCAGTGGGAAGAGCAGGTTTTTCAGCGGAGGAGCAGGAGGGGTCTGGGGGAAACGCAGCCTCGCTGCTGCTCACACACCCTGGGGATGTTGCGACAGCACAGCTCTGTCACATTCCCACGCTCCCTGAGCTGGTGTCCCGGCGTGTTCCTGACCAAAGGAACGCCCCACCGCCACCGGGCGGTCCCAGCCCGCATCCCCTCATCCCCACCGGCTCAGGCTGAGGGCTGAGGGCTGGCCAAAGGGATGGGACAGCGGAGCCGGCAGCCACCAAGGGAGCGGCAGGGGTGGGACAGGGGCCAGCAGCTCCAGCTAACTCAGCTGCCTGCTTCCCCGAAAAGGAAAGGCAGGGCACTGCCCTGGAAACGCCTCCTCATCTCTGCCCGAGTGGGAATTCGCTTGCCGTGGCTGTCGCAAGAGTCACGGCTCGGTGCCTGCAGGCTGCGGACAGGGAGGAGCAGGCACATGAGTTTCTGGCGAGGGGCAAGCTCCTGGAGGAGCCGGGAGCAGGGCTTGGGGCTGTGCCGGTCCTGCCCCGGCAGGTTCCGGCCGTGCTGCTGTGACCGGTTCTGTCCCCCAGGGCCAGATCAGCCGCGGAGCCCACTACACCCTGCACAGGAACAGCGGCGACCTTTGGGAAGTGGCCGACAGCGCAGGAGACACCATCAGCGCCCCCGGGGTCTGCTTCATGATCCCCCCGCCCGACCCAGAAGCGATAGCCCTGGCAGAGCAGTACGTGCCCCCAGCCTGGCCGGGACCGGCCCGCTGCCCCTCCGGCCTGGCCTGCCCCAGCCCCGGGCCCTGCCACCCCGCTCTGGCACCCCAGGGATTCCCACAGTGAAGCTGTGCCTTCTCGAAGCCTCAGGCTTCCTCCCGAAGGATTCCTGCCCCTTCCTGCTTGCTCACAAGATCCCAGCTGGCAAAGGGGGGCCGGCTCAGAGCCACCCAGGTTCCCCCTGCTCTGGGGGCCATTGTGGCACGGGGAGCTGCCCACCCCTCCCTCAGCCGGCAGGTTCCTGCCTGGCTGCCTCTCCCCTCTTCTAATGAAGACGCTGCTCTATCCCACCATGGGGCGAGGGTGCCTTTTCCCCCTCCAGCTTTATGGCTGCCTCGAAGGAGCAGCTCCCACAACCCCTCCAGAGCTGGAGCTTCTTCCTGGAGCAGCGCCGGGATGGTAACGGGGTGATGGAGAGGCTCAGAGTCTGACTGACCTCCTGCTGTCCCGTTCTGCAGAATTGCCAAGCACTATGTGGCCGTGAAGGAGAAGACCAACAACTGCAAGAACGTTCTCCAGCAGCGCTATGAGGGGCTGAAGGCAGACAGCATTGGAGGTGTGGGGCTAGAGGGCATCCTGGGGCACAAAAAGGCTTGAACTTAGGTGGTTGAGCATCTTTTGGGGATGTTCCCATCTCCTAAGGGTCCTGGGGACAACAGTGCTGGTTGGGTGAGGGGTAGAGCAGCCAGGCTGTGGTCACAGCAGGCCAGGCTCGGAGAATGCAGCAGCATGAGGATTTGGCACTCACCAGTGGGACTGAGCCCACACCCAGCTCCAACCAGCTTTAATCTGGTCTCCTCTTGTTGTCCAGATGCTGCATCAGTTCGGGGACGCCAGCTCCTGGCAGGGCTGGAGAAAGTCAACAGTGACCTGGACAAGCAGGAGAAAGCGATAACAGCAAACCTGCGGCCGCCGCTGGAGCAGAGCCGGGCAGTGCAGGACAGCACCGAGCGCTCCAAGGATCTCAAGGTGGGGCTGTGGGGCTGAGGGATGGTGCCTGGCAGAGACCGTGCTCCCAAAGGGTCCCCAGTGGGGTTCTCAATAGCCGAGGGTCCTTAGGGTGCTCCCTGAGCCCTGGAAATGGGATGTGGAGGGATGCTCACAGCTTCTTCCAGTAGAGATGGGGAGCAGCCTTCTGAGCAGCCCCAGAAGCCCAAAACCTTTGCCTTGCTTCTGGCCCAGCTCAGTCGAATGGGAAAAAGGTGATGGCTGCAGGTGGTGGCTGTGAGGATGAGGAGGGAGCCCTCAGGTTTTGGTCCTGCCCATCATCTGAGCACAGTTAACTTTGCCACCACTATAACCAGCTCAGAGAGGAACAGGAAAACCCTTGTGGTCCGAGGCAGTTTCTCCTTGTGGACCTGCTCCTCCAGGCTCCAGTGCCAGTAGCATCCAGCTTCTTTCCTCTTTTTCAGACCCCTAATTAAACCGGGCTCCATGCCACAAACCTCCCTTGGTTTAGGAGGAAGTTCAGGTCCTGGTTACATCACTTGCCCAGGGCTGTGTCAAAATCCAGGTGCCACCACAAGAGAAAGCAAATTGCCCCAAACTGCCTGCAGCACTTTGATGGCCAGGCAAGGATTCATCTGTCAGAGCCCAGATGAACCCAGCATGTCCCTGACAGAGCTGGAGTGCTGGAAACCCCTCCCCAGCTGGAGTTTCCTTGCTAAGGAGAGACAGGTCAAAAGAAAGTCAGCCAAAAATATCATTTTGTGCCCAGCAGGGCTGGAAGGCACCTTCTACCAAACACAAATCTCAGCCCTGACTTCCTTCCTCACCCTGGACAGCCAAGTGTGGCTCCTCTGTAGCCACCAGGTCCTGCTCAGCTGCTCTAAAGGCTTTGTTCCTCCTGCAGAACATCACCAACGAGGTCCGGCGCATCGAGCCTGAGAAGACGAGGAAGATCCAGGAGTGCGAGGCCTTCATCGAGTCCGTGCCCAACACAGGCAGCGCGACCCTGGTGAGGAGCAAGGTGGAGAACACCAACAAGAAGTACGAGCGCGTGGTGCAGCTGCTCAGCGCTGCCCAGGAGAAGTAAGTCATGGCTTAAATCCCAGCTTGAGCCTGACCTAAGGCAGGATCTGTCATGTTTGCGGGTCCCAGGATGAGGGAAGAGATGAATCTGACTCCATATTTCTTAGAAGGCTGATTTATTATATTATGATATTATATTATATTAAAAAGTGCTATACTAAAGCTATACTAAAACAATAGAAGAAAGGATTTCATCAGAAGGCTAGGAGAGGAATGAATAATAAAAACTCATGACAGAGAGGCCGACACAGCTGGCTGTGATTGGTCATTAAGTAAAAACAACTCACGAGACCAACCAAAGATGCATCTGTTGGTAAACCATCTCCAGACCACATTCCACAGCCATCAGAGAGTTATTGTTTACATTTCTTTTCTGAGGCTTCTCGGCTTCTCAGGAGAAAAATCCTGGCAAAATGATTTTTCAGAAAATATGACAGTGACAGGATCCTGCAGGAGGAGGGTGCAGGAGTGCTTAAACAGCTTCTTTGTGTCCTTGCAGAGTTGAGGTGGCCACAAACCTGGAGAGGAGCCTCCAGCAAGGCCGAGACCTGCTGTCAACCTATGAGAACAAGCTGGTCATAGATGACACGGTACCAGAGGACTTGAGGGTGGTGGACAGGAAGAAGGAGGAGCTGCTGGTGAGTTTCCTGCCCTGTTTGTGTGCTGCACGTGCAAAAACACTTTCCAAAAGCTGTGGTGATTCCTGCTCAACTCCTAAGCTTGGATATGTTGGTGACAGGATGGCCTCCCCCAGCTGGGGGTGAGAACTCACCTTGACTGCAGTGATCCCCACCTGCTTCAGACACAAACACCTCCCATCCTCAAATCAAATCAAATCAAATCACACTTGAAGTCTTGTGATTTGATGAAAGGACTAATGCAGATGGATTCCCTATCCACACTGCTCTTGTGAGACCCTCCCACAGCAGGGCTGTGTCCAGGTCTGGAGTCCTCAGCACAAGAAAGACATGGACCTGTTGGAGCATGTCCGGGGAAAACACTCTCAGGGCTGGAGCAACTCTGCTCTGGAGCCAGGCTGGGAGAGCTGAGGGTGTTCACCTGGAGAAGAGAAAGCTCCAGGAGTCCTTAGAGCTTATAAGAGGGAGAGAGACTTTTTACATGGGCAGATACTGACAGGACAAGAGGAATGACTTTAAACTAAAAGATTTAAATTACATATTAGGAAGAAATTCTGCTCTGTGAGGGTGGACAGGCCCTGGCACAGGGTGCCCAGAGCAGCTGTGGCTGCCGCTGGATCCCTGGCAGTGCCCAAGGCCAGGCTGGATGGGGCTTGGAGCAGCCTGGGACAGTGGGAGGTGTCCTTGCCCATGGAAGGGGGTGGGATGAGATGAGCTTTAAGTTTTTTCCAAACTAAAACCTTCTGTGATTCTTAGAGAAGTGAAGGATAAAATGGTCTGGAAAAGCAACTCAGTGGCCTGATACTGGAAAGATGGGCCTGGCAAGGCTTTGAGAACAGTTACTGCTTGGAAAAATTACCCAAACTGGCAATTCTTCTGCTATAGAAAGACCAAGAACTGGCTAGGCCAGAATTTTCTGTGCTCCTTCAGCTTTTCCATGAAACCCCAAGTTCAGACTAACATGGAAGATCTTTCACTGCTCCTGCCACAGTTGCTGTACTGGCAAGAACAGGATCTAAGCCTTGCATGAAGAGGCTTTTAAAGGTCAGCAGGTCAAGGAGGGAGTAAGAGGTAACTTTTCTCCCTGTCAGGTTTACCAGGTGGTTCTGCTAACCATGTAAGCCTTGAGCTTGTTTTTTTCCACAACTGGTGGCACTGCTGCAGCTCAGGCCTGCAGCTCCAGTGCAGTTACTGGAGTCAATGTGGGTGACAACAGTTTGAAACCCCAGAGGATCACCCTCTCCTGCTTTTTTCCCCACAGGCCATGGGCAGCGAGCTCCAGTCCAAGAAGTTCCTGCTCAGTGAAGCCGAGCAGAACCTGCAGAGGACCAAGACATGCTCCAACACCCTGGCCAGCAAGTTCCAGGAGCACTGTCCCGACATCGAGCGCCAGGAGGCAGAGCTCTACAAGCTCAACCAGCGCTTCAACAACCTCAGCAAGCAGATTGACCACAGGTGAGAGCACAGGGCAGCAGAGCAGGGATGGCTGCTGTGGAGTTGGGAGCATGCTGGAGCTGGAGGAGGCACACCACGGTCCTGGGAAGGAGGAGTTGCAGAAGGTCTTCCAGGGAGGTCTGAGGAGGAAGAGGGAGAGGTTGCTGGCATGTGCTGGCTGGGTAGAGCTGAGAAAACAAGGATTGGTTCTCTTGCAACAGAGGTGCCAAGAGAACAACCTGGCTCAAATCCATGTCTTTGGGGAGCAGGGGAAGCGGGGTGTGTTAAGAGGTGTCTGCAGCAGGCACAGGAGATGGGACAGAACTGAAGCTGAGCTGGTTTCCCCCACAGAACGCAAACCCTGCAGAAAGCAAAAAGTGCCTACTCCAACTACCGTGCCAACTACGACAAGGTGAACCAGTTCCTGTGCAACATCCCCAACTACGAGCCCCAGGAGACTGACAACATCCAGCAAGTGGAGATGAAGCTCAAGAGCCAAGCGGTAATTCCCAGAGCACCCCGGGCTCCACAGGGAGAGAAGAGGGAACAAGACTAAAAGAAACAGAGCTTAGATAGCTCCTAAACATCAAATCGAAAAAAATATAAATGTTTATTAGGTTTATTCTTGTGCTCTAAGGTCCCATGGTCCTCCTGTGCCTTGTTCACACAAAGCAGGGCTGCTCAAGGAGGAATTCTCAGGGTTGTGATTTTAATGGTAACTCCCAAAAAGGCTGAAGGATGCATTTGGATGTTGTGTTGCCTCTGACCTGTATCTCTGTGCACCCAGGCACTGCTCAGTGACATTGCAAGCAAGGAACAGGAGGTGCAGAAGGTCTCTGCCACAGCTCAGCAGTACCAGCAGGCAGTGAAGGTAAGGGCTGAAATTCTGCCTGTGAGAGAACAGAGAAACACAGTATTTGGGTTAGAAGAGACCCTAAAGCCTATCTCATTCCACCCCTGCCATGGACAGGGACAGCTCCTGTTATCCCAAGCCCTGCCCAGCCTGGCCTTGGACACAGCCAGGGATCCAGGGGCAGCCACAGCTGCTCTGGGCACCCTGTGCCAGGGCCTGCCCACCCTCACAGGGAACAATTCCTGCCCAATATCCCATCCAGCCCTGCCCTCTGGCAGTGGGAAGCCATTCCCTGTGTCCTGTCCCTCCATGCCTTGTCCCCAGTCCCTCTCCAGCTCTCCTGGAGCCCCTTTAGGCCCTGCAAGGGGCTCTGAGGTGTCCCTGGAGCCTTCTCCTCTCCAGGTGAGCACCCCCAGCTCTCGCAGCCTGGCTCCAGAGCAGAGGGTGGGATTTTGTGGCCTTCCCAAAAAACAGGTCAAGGGGTGAAGTTGTTAAAGCCAGGGCAGCTTAAGAGGAGCCTGTGTGTGAAGGGGATGCAGCAATTTCACATTTCTCCTGGGAATGTCTTTGCACAGGACTACGAGTTGGAGGCTGAGAAGCTGCGGTCCATCCTGGACCTGGAGAACGGCCGGAATGGCTACACCAGCAAGAAGCCCAGGCTGCAATCCCCAGCTGCCAAAGTGAAGGAGGAGGTAAGCAAGGGCTGGCCAGAGGAGAGCCAAAGCAGAGGGCAGCTCACAGGACCACTGGGGGTCTGCAAACATCTACACTTACTGTCGGGACCTCGGTCCCACAGGGGACCACAGGGAAGGGCAGGGAATCAGGAGGAAGGGATTTTTCATAAATTTTTTTAACTAGGCTGGCCAGAATGAGGGAGGCAAAATGCTGGATTTAACACTTTTGGAAGGGAAAAAGGAGGAGAAAAGCCAAAAACCTGGAAGTTTTTCCCTTCTCTAGACTTTCAGAGAGAATTCACCACCAAAAACAGAAATACTTAAAGTGAGATGAGGCCACAAGCTACTTACTTATGCAGGATATGTTTGCTACCTGCCTCAAACTCACCCTGCCTGTAGAGGCAGGCAAAAGTTCACCCGGTTCTTCCTCACCTGGTTCTTACTGCACCTGTTTTTGCTTATCTTGAGTAGAAAAAAATCACAGTATGACCGCGAGTGTGTCTGTGTATGAGAATCCCTCTCCCAAAACACGGCAGTTCACTGCTGCAGGTTTTGAGGAGCACCCAGAGCGACCAGTTTAAGACCTGTTGTTTCTGGCCTTCTCAAGCTCTTCCCAACACGTTTTTGCTCTGCAGGAAGCTGTTCTGGCAGCCAAATACACAGAAGTGAATGCTGTGAACAAGCAGAGGCTGCAGAACCTGGAGTTTGCCCAGAGCCTCCTGCGGCAGGTGAGTGATCAGAGGAGCAAGGTGATGCTGAAGGGACACACATGTGGGACCCAAGGACACATGGGAATGGCAAATGTGGGGGAACAAGTCTAGTTGGTGTCTTACCCCCCTAAATCATGAATCAGCAGGCACTTAAATCACACGGACCACCCCCAGTCCCATTGCCCACTCATCCTAGGAAGCTCCATATAGTTTTTAACTCTATTTTTGCCATTCTGTGGCAGAATTAGTGTCCCTTGTGGCTCAGAGCTTTGTTCTGACAGCAGCAGGCATTGCAGAAAGGATTTCTCAGGCTGGGAACCCGCGGCAGAATTAGTGTCCCTTGTGGCTCAGAGCTTTGTTCTGACAGCAGCAATTCTGCATTGCAGAAAGGATTGCTCAGGCTGGGAACCCGCAGAGGTCCATTTGCAAATGCTCCCTGCTCAGAATTTGCCACAGCTCAACTCCCTCCTGTTGCTTTGTTGGAGGCACCGATCTCCTGGCGTGGGTCAGGAAGAGTGGCCAGCAGGACCAGGACAGTGATTGTCCCTCTGGGCTGGCCCTGCTGAGACACATTGAGTTCTGTGTCCAGTTCTGGCCTCGTCATGACAAGAAGGACACCGAGGGCCTGGAGGGGGTCCAGGGAAGGGAACAGATCTGGGAAGGGGCTGAGGGAGCTGGGAAAGGGGCTCAGCCTGGAGAAAGGGGCTCAGGGGGATCTTGTGGCTCTGCACAATTCCCTGACAGGAGGAGACAGCCAGGAGGGTTGGGCTCTGCTCCCAGGGAACAGGGGCAGGAGGAGAGGGAGACCCTCAAGTGCCAGGGGAGCGTCAGGTTAAACATCAGGAGAAATTTCTTCACTGAAAGGGTGGTCAGGCCATAGAAGGGGCTGTCCAGGGAGGTGGTGGATGTGTTCCACTATTCCTGGAGGTCTCCAAGGAACACGTGGATGTAACACTCTGTGCTCTGGGCTGGGTGGCAAGGTGGGAATCAGTCACAGGTTGGACTCAATGATCTTGGAGGTTTTTTCCAACCTAAATGATTCTGTGATTCTGTGATGATAAGCTTCAAAAATGTGATTAAATGGATTTTTTTCACTAATTTTTTTTGATCCTTTTGCCAACAACAGCAGCCAGAGATTCAGGTGACACAAGACTTTGCCCAGACCAAAAAGTCTGTAAGGCCTGTGGAAGAAGTCTGGAAGTTGAAGAAGGAGCTTGAGGATGAGACTCAGCGTCGGCAACAGCTCGAGGCAGAGATTGAAGCCATTCAGAACAACATTGTCCACCTGCAAAATCAGAAACCCCAAGAAACTGTGGTGAAGAAAGAACTGGTGAAGAAGGTGCCTGACCCCCAGCTGGAAGAGAGTTTCCACAGACTGCAGCAAAACCTGGCAGAGGAGCAGCGCAAGAACCAGGCACTCCAGGATGAGCTGGAGGCTCTTAAGATCCGGCTGCGAGTCCTGGAGCACGAGAAGAGGGAAGGAGGGCAGGAGTACATAGTGAAAGAGGTGCTGAGGATTGAACAAGATAAGGCTCAAGCTGCTGAAATCCTGAAGCTCAAAGAGGAACTGGAAGAGCTCAGGAGGCAGGAAGGGACCAGGGAGAGTGAAGTCATCCTCTTACGCCAACAAATTGCTGTGCTGTCCAGCGAGAAGAACAAAGAGCAGGAGAAGGTGACGGAGAAGGAGGTGCTGAAGCTGCAGAATGATCCCCAGCTGGAGATGGAATTCCGGATGTTGCAGGAGACCAAGGAGAGGGAGAGTGCCCTTCGGCAGAAGCATGAGGAAGAGCTCAGCTTCCTCCAGGAAAAGCTCAAGCGTCTGGAGAAGGAACGGGCCATCGCCGAAGGCAAAATCACCGTCAAGGAGGTGCTGAAGGTGGAGAAAGATCTGGCCATTGAGAGGGAGGTGAACGAGCTCCGGCGCCAGTACGAAGATGAGAAGTCCAAGGGCCGTTCCAATGAGCGGGAAAAGGCTGAGCTGCTGAGGAAGATCCAGCTGCTGGAGGAGGAGAACTCCAAGGTGGTTGTTCAGGAGAAAGTGCGTGAGATTGTGCGCCCGGACCCCAAGGCTGAGAATGAAGTTGCCAACCTTCGCTTGGAGCTGGTAGAGCAGGAGAGGAGGTACCGCGGTGGGGACGAACAGCTGAAGAGCTGCCAGAACGAACTGGCTGCTCTCAAGAACAGAGGGCCCCTGGTAGAAGTCAAAGAAGTCATTAAGGAGGTCATTAAGTACAAGAATGATCCAGAAACCGAAAAGGAGCTACAGCGACTCCGGGAGGAAATAATAGAGAGGACCGGAGCTATAGAAAGAGCTGACCTCGAGATCTACCAGCTGAAACAAGAGATACAAGCGTTGAAAGACACCAAACCTCAAGTGCAAATGAAGGAAGTTGTTCAAGAAATCCTCCAGTTTCGGGAAGACCCCAAGACCAGAGAGGAGGTAGAGTCGCTGCGAGTGCAGCTGGCAGACGAACAAATGAAGCACATTGACCTGGAGAGGGAACGACTTCTCCAAGAAGAAAAAGTAAGACTGAAGGAGGAAGAACTTTCCCAGGTGAAGGAGAAGGTGGTCCAACAGGAAGTAGTGAAGTATGAGCAGGATCCTGCCTTGAAAGCTGAGGTGAACTCCTTCTCCCAGAGCATCGAGAGCGAACTGAAGCAGATCGACGGGCTCCGTGAGGAGCTGCGCAAGCTGCAGAGGAGACGCTCCGAGCTGGAGCGGCAGCTCGAGGAGCTGGAGAAGGAGAGACAGGCCCGCAGAGAGGCCGAGCTGGAGGTGCAAAGGCTCAGGATCCGGCTGAACGAGCTGGAAGAACAGGAAAGAGAAACGACAGAACGAGTGACTGTGAAACAGAAAGTGATCCTTCAGCAAGATCCCCAGCAGGAGAAGGAGCACTCCCTCCTCAAGCTGGAGTTAGAAGAAGAGAAGCACCGCAGACAAGTCCTGCAAACCGAGCTAGAAGCCCTGAGAAAGAAGCTCCTTTCTTTGGAGAAGATGGAGGTCAAGGAGAAAGTGGTCTTTTCAGAGAGTGTCCAAGTGGACAAAGGAGACACAGAGTACGAGATTCAAAAGCTGAAGAGCAACCTGGAGGAAGAAAGTAGGCGCAAGAGGGAGCTGGATGCAGATCTCAACCACCTGGAAACCAGGCTGTCCGAGGTGGAATTCAACAACTCCAAGTCATCAAAGGAACTAGACTTGTTAAGGGAGGAAAACCACAAGCTCCACCTCGAGAAACAGAACCTACTGATGGAAACAAGAAGACTGCAGTCAGAGATTGAACTCACCGCAACAGAAGCTCAGGATCTGAGAAACATGACCCACGTGGACAGTGGAATAAACCTGGACTCCAGGTTCCAAGCTTTGGAAAGAGAGTTAGAGGATCTGAAGCAGTTATCCAGAGAAAAAGATGCAGAGATTGAGCAACTCCAGAATCGCCTGAAGACAGTGGCTATCAAGAGGGAGCAACGAGAGAACCACCTGAGGCGCTCCATCGTGGTCATTGACCCCGACACAGGAAAAGAGATGTCTCCAGAGGAAGCTCACGTGTTTGGCCTCATTGAATGGAGCCTGTTTGTCAAACTGAAGAGCCAGGAATGTGACTGGGAGGAGATCTCAATAAAGGGTCCCAACGGGGAATCATCTGTGATCCTCGACAGGAAGTCTGGCAGGGAGTTCTCCATCGAGGATGCCCTGAAGAGCGGGAGGCTCACCACGGCCCAGTATGAAAGTTACCTCAACAAGGAGATGTCCATCCAGGAGCTGGCAGTCTTGGTGTCCGGAAGCAATTACACAGCGCTCGCTCCACTTTAGAAACTTCACTTCAAGAGCAGCCAGTCAGAGCTGCAGCACCTTGCAGACATCCAGATCACTGCAAAGCCTCACCCTCCTTCGCGTCTTCCAAACTGCTACAGCCTCTGCCCCGGCCATGCTACGCAGCCACTCCGCTTGTTGTCACACACTGCAGAAAACACCACCAGTAGTGGAAAACATCTGCCAACCTCCTGAAACCCCTCTTCCTCCCTGCCTATCAGAAAACAAGAGAAAGCCTTAGGACAGTGAAGTGCTTCAAGTCCAAAAGACTCAGTAGAACCTGCAGTTTCCTCAGCTCCTACTCACATAGTCGTGTACGCAGTCGTGTCAGGAGAGAGAAGGACCCTGAAGGTCCAGGTGACTCTGAGGTGACCAGCAGGAGCTGGTTACATCAGCTGCATGTTGATAAGCCAGACAGTCCCACTGTGGACAACTGACTCAATGATGGGCTCGTCCTCTGAGAAAACCAGCTCTGTGGAAACCAAGGTTTCAGCCCAGAATCACCATGTCAAGACTCACCACCACCATTTGTTCACCTCTGTGCCTGTGCTGCTGGGGAAGAATGAAGGTGTACTTTGATGGCACCAGCCATTGATCCAGAAGGAGCATTCACACACTCCAGAGGTCAAGGAAAAGGACATGAAGAGATGGCAGAACCACCAGACACAAGGGGCTGTGCACACCATGCAAGGGAACCCAAGGCAGAGAGCCTCCCACAGGCAGCTCCTTCACTCGTGGTTAAAAGCTGTTAGTGCTGGTGTTTTCCTGGATGGAGTTACATGCAGCTACATGTTTCATTTACTTGTGTAAGGGAATGGGGAATAGAGGGGAATTCTATTTATAGTACAAAATAAAAATGCAGTGGTTCCAATTAGAAGGCGTTTGGTTTTCATTAATTATGGCAGCCTCCTGATCTTTGGCTGTACAAGAAGTTGCCATTTAGGAATTAAAACACCAAGATTATTCATTTTAGCTGTTGGCACTTTTCCAAGGGGAAATTGCTGGAGCAGCACTGAAGCTGGGACTAATGAGCAGCATTAGATGGGAGTGAAGTGCACTAAAGAATGGGACTGACTGCAGAACAGTGGATTACACTGGGATAGTACCTTTCAGAGCCCATTCACTTCCTTTTGCCAAATTTCAGCTAATAGCCAAACCCTGGGGAGCTCTGATGTCCACAAAAGCAGTCATAATCATTCCCTGCTTATCCCTCCTGGCTCTGGGGATTTACACCACTATTTTACCTTTGTGAATGAAGGGATCAGGGAGGATCTCACTGGTCCTGCAGGGTCTGAGCCCCACATGTCCTTTCCAGCAGAGGCCAGCTTCAACCATGAGGAGCACAGAGAATGAAAAGAAACATTCCTACCCCTGCAACAGCTGCAACACAGCTGCCATTCACTCACCACATAGGAGACTTTAAAACAGTCAATAATTCATTACTCACTTGAAACAGAGCATCCAAGCTGCAACAGAAATTCTTGGAAACAAAGTCAGGGAATTAGATGTAAGGAGATTGGGGGAAAAAAGTGTTTTGGAAAGTTTGAAACAATTTATTGAGTTGTTCTGTACAAGATTAACATTTTTCATACCACCCCCACCATCTTCAGCAAGACAGTGCCAACACACATAAAAAAAAATAGAATAGTAAACTGCAGCTCTTACACCCAAAAGGAACTGCCATCCCCAGGTAAGTGCCATGGGAGCCTATCCCTCCCCATTCCATCCTGGAAGCGCTGCCAGTTGCCTCACCAAGGCAGAGGTGCCAACCTGGCTCCCCATCAGCTGCTCTGTGTGGGCCTGCCTTGCTGCTCCACACCACTCACTCATTCATTATAGCACGTAAAGAAAAAATATCCCACAGAATTTCCACCACATAAACGTTTCCCTGAGGCAAGAGGCTTCGCTAAATTCCTAGAGGAGGGCATTCTGCTCCGGCCGCGCACACGGGGGCTGCCCAGCAGAAGCATTCAAGTGAAAGCAGAGAGGGAGGAGAACCAGTACCTCGAGTCACTCACTGAGAGCCCCTATCCTGCCAGGTGTCCCAAGCTTTCAGCTTCCAGGGAAAGGTGAAGGTGCCAAGCACCCCTCAGGATGAGGCCTTCAGCAGGAACCACACGACATCCACTGCTCAGAGTCCACCAAGAAATGCTGTGCTTCGTTTTACCCACACGAGTTCTGTCTTTGGCTCTTCTGCTACAACCTAGTATTTTCTGTAAACAGACTTGAAATCTGAACTGTATCCATTCATTTGGAATACAATCAACTCACTGATCTTGGGCAGTTATGTATCAGCTCAAATTGAAAACAGTCTTTCTCAGATCTGAACAAAAACCAGAGGAAACTACAGCAGACATGTGCTGGTATTCTGGGGTCAGCATCCTTCCCCAAAGCTCAAGGAGGAAGCTACAAGCTTTTCCTTGGAACACCAGTAAATTCTACATGGATCAGCACTACCCCTGCACAACTGGGACGTGGCTGGGGGGGGTTGAGAGAAGACAGACTGGGCAGAGCAGGAAACCAAACCTCAGAAAGTTCAGGTGGAGCCTCAGCCTGCCCTTAGCCTGAAAGGGGGTGCACACGGGGAGTATTTAGCTCTGAAGTTAAAAAAATGAACAAGAAAAGACACCCCCCAACTGTGGATGGTCCCTGTTCCTGCAGTTGTGCTGAGCACATGATCCTGGTGCAGGTACCATTGAGGAGAGCAGTGTTTTTCTCTGGAATTCATTCGAAAGGTCGTGACCTTGGTTCATCTCACTCAATCCCTCTGCCCACCAAACTGATCCTAACTCACAACCCTAGGAAAGAATGGCTTTAGGGGAGGGCCTGGAACCCACCTGCACATACTGGGATGAGAACTGGTGCTCCTGCTGGATTTGGGACTGTGCTCAGTCACCAGGTCACCACTGAAGTCCAGACAGTGCAGCTTTTTTTTTTTTTTTTTTCTGATGTGCAACCATAAAAAGCTCTATTAAATAAACCAGAATACATTTTAAATACAGAATGATTAAAAAAGGGTTGAGGAGCACACAAAATAGGGCTGAAATGTGTGTCACTAGTCCATTCTTGCTCCACCATAAAAGGCACTGGAATTATGTCTTCTGATCCATGTGACATGCTAAGAAGTGTCCCATTCAATCCAATGCATTCGATGGCAATGAGGATAAAACTGAGCAGGAAAAAAGCATCCCTTTGGAGGGAAAAAAAAAATCCAAAAACTCAAAAGAAGTACAATTCTAAAAGTCAATGACTGCATCTAAAAAGGTCTTTAGTCTCTAAAGAGTCTTCCTTCTCCTCCAGAGGGGAACATCAGGTGGTTCCTCAGATTCACCACACAGGAAATGTTAAATCCTCCAATTAAGTGTAGCACAGTTTTATAGTACAATTGGAAAGTTACTCAAATGTCTTAAAGAAAGCACTGGCAGTGCTAGAATTATCCAAGTAAATCCAAAGCAGAAGAAAGAAGCACCTTTCATACCCTCCACAGGGAGACCAAGGAGGTAACTGGACTTGGAGGTACTTGGCAGCTACAGACACAGGTGGGTGGGAATCCACTGCAGGACCACCCGAGCCTCCCTGCGAGTTCCAGCTCCTGCCAGTGCCAGGGAATGCAGGAAGGGCAGCAGCAATAAACAGTGCTACAAAAGGCTCCTCTCATCAGGGCATGGCTCCAGCTGGCCCATGTGGGGGCTCAGCTCTGAAAGCCTCTGAGCAGACGCCCCAATGAATTCCTTGTTGCAGTTCAGTCTCTCCAGTTGTCATAAAAAAAAATAGGAAAAAAAAAAAAAGAAATCAAAAGACACAGCTGGTATCCAAAGTCCATGACCTGTTCCTCTGGGTTTTATCCTATGGGTGCTGGAGCTCCCCTCCTTGCAGGCGTCACAACTTGCGCTGCTGTGCATTGGACCCTTTGCCGTGAAGCTGAGAAGCATCTGAAAGAAAACAAAACAGCTGGGAAGGGGGCTCAGCACCCCCTGAAGGGCAGCTGGGACAGCCAGGCCTCTGCACAGAGGGAAAGACCTACTCTTCCTTCCCAGCACCAAGGAATCAAGAAGAGGATGTGCTTGGAGACATCTCTCTGCTGGGAGCAGCCCAGCCTCTGAGGAAGGGACAAGGGAAGCACTGAGGGTCCCCTGTGGGCTCCCAGCAGAAGCCCCATGGCACAATTCCAGCAGCTAGGAAACTCCTTAGCCTGTGCCCTTCTCTAAATCCACCCTGCCACATCTCCCCCTCCAGGACTCCCAAAATACATGCTGTGGTTGCCTTGCACCTATAGGTGGCTGGAAGTAACCTGTTGTACATTTTTGCTGTTGTAATCACAGAATCACTGAGGTTGGAAAAATCCTCCAAGACCAGGGAGTCCAACCTGACCCATGCCCAGCTTGTCCCCAGCCCAGAGCACTGTATGCCACATCCAGGCCTTCCTTGGACACCTCCAGGGATGGGGACTCCAAACCTCCCTGGACAGCCCCTGCCAATGCCTGACCACCATTTTCATAAAGAAGCTCCTCCTGATATCCAACCTAAACTTCTCCCTGTCTCCTCTTGTCCTCTCACTGGTTTTGTGGGAGGAGAGGCAAGCCCCTCACCTAGAAACTCCTTTCAGGTAGGGCTGTAGGTGCTTTATTATTTTTTTAAATTATTTAATTAGGTGCTTTTTAAATGAAGGCTTTAGGCACCCACTGATAGCAACAGGATCCATAGGAATCTCACCACTGATGGAATAGAACGGAATGGATGAAGAGGACAAGAAAAAATGCACTGAAGAGAGAAAAAGGAAGGAAGTTTAAAGAAGCAAAAGTTTTCCAGGAGCAATCAAAACCACTTCAGACTGTGATGAACAAATAGGAGTACTGAGACGTGCAGCTAAGCAGCAGTGGCACCCAGCAATGCAGCAGCAGCTTCTCCTCCAGGCCAAGAACAGCTCCTTTGCATGCAAGAGCTCAGCTCAGCACATCCCATTTCCACATTCCCCAGCACAAGGAACCTCCACCAGCAACAGAAGCACCAACCACACACAGGCAAGCACTGGATGGTCTTTGCTCAGAGGCTCTTGGATGAACGTGGATATAAAAGCACTTTTAAATAAAAGGCATCAATATTCCCTTGCATTTGCAGCAACCTCCCACACACCTGGCAGTGCTCAGACACAGCAATGCAGCTGTGTGCAGGTGTTGGCACAGCCAAACACAGCTTGTGCCACAAAACACAGGAATTCATTTTAACGTTATGGGAGTCACTTAAATATCTACTGTGTTCTCCTCCAAAACACCAGAACTGGGAATGTTCCAAGAGATGGCAGCACCAGGCTCCATCCTCAATCTTTAAGTGAAAACACCAAGTGAGAAAGCAGGTCCTTGCTGAAGCTGGATCCATGGTCAGTTTTCCTTCACTTATTCCCAGTGGTCTTTTGTCTTCTGGCCCTGCATCCTGCTGAACAGTCCATCAAAAAATTCTTCTGTTATAAGCCCTGTGAACAAAGTGATCACTCTGAATTTCCTCAACTAAAGAGACAAAGAGCTGGTCCTCAGTGACATGGAATATATTCCACAAGCCAGGTGCAATCTCTGATGTCATTCCAGGAAGTGTGATTTACACACAGGAAGGGTCTGTCCCACCAGTGATCACTGCCAGACCTTCTTCAGCTCTACCACACCAGCGTGGCACAACTCACATCACACTTCAGCAAGGGAAACAAACCAAACCAATTCTTTCCATTTTCATGGGTGCACAATGCACTCTTCCTTCTTCACCAAACAAGCACTGTGCTTAGCAGTCAAGGGCCTTTTATTCCATGACTCCTCCAGGCCACATGGTTACCCATGCACACAGCCACAGGACCAGGCTAGCACTCCTAAATCAGACTCACTTAGCCCAGAAAGACCATCCCAACAGGAGCAGGTACTAAGATAATGGCACTGAACTGCACCAAAGTGCTAAAGAACACGCCTAAGAAAGCAGAAGTAGGAGTTATCAGGGGAATACACAGCTCCCTGGAGCAGGTAAGAATGATCTGCTGGCGCTGAATTTCATTTTTCCTTACTTCTCTCCTTTGGAAAACTCTTGTCTTATGCATCACTTCTGCAGGCATCAAACTGGGGCAGGAACAGGCTTGACTGCCAAATTCTCACGTTGTGAGCAGCAAGTGGAGCAATCTGCATTTACACTACAAACTTGTTGTGAAGGAGATGCTGGCAATTAACTCAGTGCACCAACACAAGACAGTCTGGTCTGACACAATTTATGTAGGCCACCAGGAACAAAACTCCCCAGAGCTGCAATATTCATTCCAGGGCAGTCCTAGCAGGCTGTGCACAAACAGGCACAGCTTTCATCCTGGCAGGATAATTCCGAGTATCTCCAGGAATCAACACTTGCTGTAAGCACTGAGGACTCATCATTCCAGAAACCACGGAATCCCAGAATGGTTTGATTGGAAGGGACCTTAAAGCCCATCTCATCCCACCCCATGCCAGGGGTAGGGACACCTTCCACTAGCCCAGGTTGCTCCAAGTCCTGTTCAGCTTGATCTTGGACACTTCCAGGGATCCAGGGACAGCCACAGCTTCTCTGAACACCCTGTGACAGGGCCTCACCACTGTCACAGCCAAGAATTTCTTCCTAACCACGGAATGGTTTGGGTTGGAAGGAACCTTAAAGCCCATCCTGTTCCACCCCCTGCCATGGGCAAGGACACCTTCCACCAGACCAGGTAGCTCCCAGCCCCTCACTCTGTACCTTGGAGAGGCTTTAGTGACAACCACACAGCTGGAAAACATAGACAACCCCTTTGGCTCCAGCCCTGAAGGAAGGATCTGCTGAGATAGAGGGAGACTCACGAGGCAGAAGACAAACACGAGCATCTAACAAGTTACCTGGCAAACTCTGTGGTAAATGAGTGGACAGGGCAGAGTGTGGGAGTGGCGCTGCATGGTGGGGGCTGGAGTGCAAACCAGCCAGAAGACCTAGAGAGAAAAACAAAGAGAGGAGAGGGGAAAAGGAACAAATACACATCCAAGACAGATATGAGCAGAGGAGCTGCAGCAGTTAGCAGAGGTCGGGTTCCAGTTATTGGCACTTCTGGGTGAGCTCTAGGGATGTTCTCCAAATGCAACTGCTGGAGATACAAAAGCGGGGACCACAGCACAAAGCAACAGCCAGAGAGATGGGCTGGTGTGCAATGGGGCAGCCCAGCAGAGCAGCGATGGGCTATGTGACAGCACAGGCACAGGTGACACACAGGTGACCAGCAGGATACTCACTGTGCCCGAGGCCATGGTGGAAAGTTCCCGGAGCAGGTCCCGTAACTATTGCATCCTTGGAAACTCCTGCTTTTGGGGAGGAGTCGGAACTGAAGGAGATGACATGGAGAGGGAAAGAATGAATAGGAGAGATAATACCTAACGGGGTGGAGCTCAGGGCAGCTGGCAGCTTTGGGTTGTTGGACTTGTAGGATGGAGCCAGTACACTTAAGGAGGAAGAGCTTGTTAGCAGCACAGCTCCACTAGTTCCTTTCTGCAAAGCAATGGAAAAGGTCAGTCAGGAGAGTGAGAATCAAGGTACAGCATCATTCAGACTTACAAATCTGCAAAACATAGAATGCTCGAGAATTCCCCCTTGGAAAAGCACCCTCCCAGCCAGGGCCCAAGAGATGCCAACACTTGAGGCCATCTGCACATGGACATTGGCAAGCCAGCTCTTCTGAATGTGGCCGTGCTGGATTTACCTCCACGACTCCCTTGCTCTGGAATTGTGCCTCCATTAGGCAGAGGAAAAGTTTCCACACTGCCTGTGAGCTCCAGGGGTATGCTTCTGACTCACTTTTGGCAGCACACACTGCTGACAACTCCAGGCACCAAGGTCTGACACCCAAGGCACCCCAGGATGTTATTCAGGATGTCTCTCATGGAGACAGGCACCACTGGGGAGTGCTTCCCAGCTCTCTAGCTCAGGAACAGCCAAGCT